GGATGTGAGGTTGAGAAGAGGTCCAAATTATCTAAACTAGACATTCCTACCTACTCAGTGACATCTTTCAAGGAAGGAGCAGAAATTACATTAGACAAGATAAGTCTTTTTTACTCCATTTCCCTGAGCCAACATTTACAAGAATATGAGGGATTCATTTCACATGGAAATCCCAGTAAATCACTTCCCGGGACAACTGTGCTATCTAAAGGCAAAAGGGTTCAGCACTGAAAAGGCAGAGACTTTACATTAAATGTCTCTTACTCTCTGACCAAGTCTAGGGTCACAGATTTGCACAAGTTAGATTCTTTTCCTTTTCCAAGGATATGTAACCACACATCTTGATGAAAAAAAAAAAAGTAGAAAAAAGTTTAGGAAGTACAAACTTCGAAGTATACATTGGTTGCTATTTGATATTGTGAATAAGTAAATTTTTTTCCAGCAACAGTTTGGCATTTTGAGCACATGTGTATCTATATTCTTATAAAGCTTCTATGGCAAAATCTGCATGTTTCACTACAAAGTACAACCATAGCAGCTGAATGCCTTCAGTTGTACTGTCTTGTTTACTTAGTAAATTCAACTTTCTATTAAGGGATATTACATTAAAAAGCAGTCAATCTAGTAAAACAATAGAAGAACCACAAGTTCATGAATGTGAGCTCTATATCCTATGTTTACTTTAGATTTGGGCAGGGAAGTCCTCATAGCTATCAAAGATACACACGAATATCCAAGGGAAGCAGCACATTGGACAATCACCTTCTATCTCAGGGTCCTAAACTCAAAAAATGTGTAAAACACTCATATAAAACATATTAATTCCTCTTTTGCATCCAATATATTGATGAGTGAAGGATTAAATTTATATATCAATTCCATTTAAATACTTGGTATCCATGAATAACTGTCTTTGGAAATTATCCAAGGCAGTTCCCACTGAAAAAAAATGGAAGGCAAAATAGCTCAGATCAGCCTATGCTGGGTAAGCGACTCTTGGTGATCCTTTGAGATGGAACAGGGGCATAAGGGTTCTTTGAGCAGGTCTGACACTGACCCTGTACTCTGGAGCCTCTTTGGTTAGAAGAACTTCCATAAACTTTGCCTTTGCAAGGCTCCACATTATGATGCTTAGAGATTTGAAACAGAGAAGGTTCTGGGGAGACCTTGTAACAGCCTGAAGGAGACCTACAGGAGAGATGGGGAGGGACTCTTGATCAATGAATGTAATGATAGGACAAGACGTAACAGCTTTAAACTGAAAGAGGTGAGATATAGATTAGGTATCAGGAAGAAATTCTTTTAGTGTGAGGGTGGTGAGACACTGCAACAGGTTTCCTGGAGAAGCTGCAGCTGCCCCATCCCTGGAGGTGTTCAAGACCAGGCCAGACAGGGCTTTGGGCAACCTGCTCTGGTGGGAGGTGTCCCTGCCCATGGCAGGGGGAGTTGGAGCTCCATGATCTTTAAGGTCCCTTCCAACTCTAACCATTCTATGAAAATACTTAGGTTTGATAGTAGCCATAACAGAATCTTGCATGTCTTGTTCACCTACATTTAAGTGAAGAAGACACTTTATTTTAATCTGTATGCCTGTTTTTAAAGTCTGGGAATCCATTTTAAACATTATAATTTTAATTCTCTCAAGCCAAATCTCATTCAAACAGTCAGAAAACATCTAGAAGGGAAGATGATTAATTTAAAGTTAGACTTATTTCCAGCACTATAAATTTCCCTCATGACCCTAGTAACAAGGTGGAAGAATTGCATGTGCTATTATTATACATGCTTTAATGTCATGACGATGATTCAGGCAATGGGAGTCAGTATATTTTCAAATTTGTTTTTGTTTTTTGTTCTAATTATCTGGTATTACTGCAATACTGAGCAAGGACCGTAAATTTAAATCTGTAAGAATTACAGTAGTTTTGGTCTAGTGCAAACCATTGACTAGTGGGACTTGGAGTCTTTTGTTTCCACCGCTCTGATCCATTTCCTGCAGTAAGGCTGCATGTTAACTGCATCCCATTCCTGCAGGATCCTTGACTGTATGTCACAGCGTCTCACAAAATTGGAACTCTTATGGGTCACCCATGGCAGGGGATTAAGTGGCCTAAATCCAAGAGTCACTTGTAAGGAAGGAACAAGCCTGAATACATAGTGCTCAGGCTTTATCAAATTATTGGTATATTTAACCCAACTATGGATGTAACTAGCAAGCTTACAACACCGATGTGATAAAACATGTTGCTAATAATATTGCATCAATATTTTACAGAAATCTGGACAACTAAGAGGAAAGTACATATAAACACATATAAAACAGTATAACTGTAATATAACTTACTGTCAGTGCTTCACATTATTTTTTTCATCCCACTGTGTAAAACATGTTTCTTCCTTAAAACAGGAGTTATGAAGTAATCCTAACGTGAAAACTACGACCTAAGTTAATCCCTACTCCTTAAAAAGAATGGTTTACATTTATATTATGATAATGCTGAAGTTTGTACTGAGATTTTAACATAAAAATGGGATTTCAGAATTAGTAATGCTTATGTTCTTTTTCAAATAAGAAACACTTCTTCCTTTTCTTTTACAGAATATTGAAATTCCACTTTAACAAATGTGTGCAATGTAAACATAACAAAATAAAATGTAAAAAGCATTCTTCCAAATCTTCTGTAAAAGAAAATAAATTATATAAAATTAATTGCAAAATTCTCATTCTTGCACTGTCCTTAATACACTTGACACACATAAGCACAAACATGGAAGAATGTATTTCTAAAGGCGAGAGAACACATGCTCAGATATTATCTGGGAAAAAATGCATTGAAATTCCTCTGTGATGAATAGACTTTTTTTTCTCCTCAGGGTGACCTCTACCTTCAGAATATGATGGTTTTATTATGATTAATAAATTTCATTTCCACAGAGGAAAGGAACAGTGTCAGCTTAAACTTAAAGCAAGTGGGTTTCTTTTTAAATGCTAATTTTTAAACACGCCCTTGCATGACACCAAATTTAGAAGCTCAGAAGGTTAGCAGAATAGATTCTGATTTCTATGCTGAAAATAGTAAGAAGGATTTAAACTATATTGTCATACTGAAAATCAGTAAGCTAGTTCAGTCACACAGTCGTTGGTTCATTTATTCACTATTATGCCAGAATGCTTATTTCTCATTAAAATTAGTGGCATTTAAATGCTTTGTGATAATTTGCACTGGAAATAATCATTATAGGTAAACAATTTACTAAAATTTAGGACATGCAAATGGCAAAGTATTTTGAATAAATTAATAGTCAATGCGATAATCTGTGTATTTTACAAAATGTTAAACCAGTGTGTGCACTCACAAATTCTTGTCTCAGAACACATCTGATGAACAATTTTGATGCACCACTAATTAGGACAACGTAAATTCCACTATTTTCCAGTATATCCAGTATATCCAGTATTCAGTACATAATTGGGACAGAGGGGGAAGTTTAAAAGTTTGCTAGCATTTTGTTACCATAATGGCACTGGTACTGAACTAGTTGGAATAACATCTTACTGGGAAATAATTGAGGAAAAAAATATCAGTGTAGCCATGCTAACATCTGTAAATGCAGCTTTAAATTATTCACCCAAAGCTCACTGTATTGCAAGTTCTTCTTTACTCATGCTATGTCTCAATTTCTTCAATCATTTTCAGTACAGGGTTTTAAATTGCTGAAATACTACATGAAAGGACAATTTGTTGTCCACTGCACAAATAAAAAAGGAGAATTAAAAATGGTAACCGGTTGTGAGATTTATCTTAATAAGGCCCTTGAAATTGAATCTTTCTCTTCAAATCATCAGTAGCAGATATTGCTGAAATCTCTAAAAAAAGGGAAAGTATATGCCTCTCTAATTGTAACTTCCATTTTAGGGTTTTAAATTCTTTGGTACTATGGCCGTATTTCCATGCACCTCCAGAACAGACAGTGGAGCTCTGACACTGGAGACATCTGGAAGCTCCTTAAGAGTATACATATTAC